CCACTTCAGATGCAGCTTCTGTGTTTTCTCTGCATTGCAAAGATTAATTTTGACAATACTGATTTAATTTGCTTGGTAACAGCCCAAATTACTTATTATTCTAATCGACTGATTCGATTTAAGAATTTGACTGAAAAGATGATGCACATATTTAGAAAAAAGGGCTTTATGAAGGTAAAAATGCCCATAAAAGATTTAAAAATATATATATATCAATTTAAACTTATTGGAAAAGATTACTTTCTATCACTGCTGTGAACTGATGACCACACAAAATATGCAGAATATGAAAAATTTTAGGAGTCAGCTGTCCACGGTAGTCCTTCAGATATCAGCACAATAACACACTCAGCAAAATATCGTCTAATTATCGTTATCGATAAAATCCCAGAAAATATTGAGATATATTTTTGTCAATATCGCACACCCCTAACATATTTAACATTTTGTTTAGAAAAAAATTTAAATAAATATGAGAAGTGCCCCTTTTTCTACTTGAGCCCCTGCCCCTCAAAATGTCTGCGCACATCCCTGGTGATATATAATATAATATAATATAATATAATAGCTTTAGAAACAGTAAACGTGGTGTAGAAATAAGGCATGGATATATTTTCACAGACACACACATATAAACACATGCAACATGAGCTTTATGTTCTATGCATTTTTATCATATATTTTCAAAATATATTTCAATATATTTAAAAGTGTTTCACATATATGTGAATCTATTACATTTCTGTATTGGACTGCATAGAACAGTGTAAAAACATCAAAAATTTAAATGAACAGAGACAACTGAAAGTAAGCATTCACAGAGCCTATTACCTTTAAGTCCTTTTGATATCAGATGCTCGGCTGCATACTGCTGCATTCAGTCTCATATGTTACTCATCACTGTGTCGTTTTAATGTTAAAATGTTACTGTTATTTTACTAATATTTTTACACAAACAGAACGTAGCACAGGAGATTTGGCATGGTTGTATTTTGGTACTGTCATGAAATTTTTTAAACGCCTTATTCCAACGTCCAGATTACGTTATTTTAACACCTGAATAAAACGTCTCCCAAAAGTTGCAGATTGGTCTGGTTTTGTTTTCGTTGTAGACAAACTTGATATTTACATTTTTTTGACTACTTAAAGAAAACATACCAGTTTTTTTTAAAGCAGGTATTTTAACAGGTATTTTCAACAACGTTTCTAAAACGTTTCATTTTGGTTACATTATTTTTTATTATTTAAAAAACGTTTTTAAAATGTTGTACTACATTACCTAATTGCAACCAAAATACAATGTTGTGAAAAGTTGTAAAAACGTTTTGTGTTTGCTGGGAAGCCTTTGTAAAAAATAATGGTTAGCACATTTATTTTTAAGTTAACAGCCTCAACAGCTGTGTTGAATTAAGGTTCAGTGTTTGTCATGTGACAACACTGTAGCATACTACTCTGAAACATTTTGTTGCTTAATGTATACTGTTTCACCCACTATTCTTAAAAAAAATAGTAGGCAGTATGCACTGTATACTGGACAGTAGGCAGTAAGCATTATGTTATGCCATTTCGAACACATCCTGTGTCAACGCAACACTGACGTCTTCACTTCCAGGTCAAGAAGCTGTCAATCAAAAACCCACAAGCCAATGGGAACCCACTGCTGCTAGCCCCGCCCCCACGAGGGATTTGTGCAAGAATGGTAAACGAAAACTCAAGGAGCGTAAATGAAAATTTAAGAAGCGTAAATGAAAACTCTGACAGCGCATTTGTATATTCAGATCAGCAGAAGGAAAGAGGAGCAAACTGTTAGCAAAGCTTGCAGTTCTAAGGAGTTTTTTTTTTCAGTTTCAAAAACATTTTATTAATTTTCAGTTTAGATTTTCATTAGTTTCTTAAGACGTTACATTCAAAATTAATTGCACAAATCTGATTCCATACTACACTGGCGTGCATCTTGTGGTGATCACCAGTGATCGGTTCTGTGCAGATTTTGTTCATCTCGCACGTGTCCGAGTGTGGTGGTATGTCTAGCTCTTATGTAATGCCAAAACATTATAATAAATGTGGGGTATGGCAACCCATTTTAGCATTTAATACACTTGGCTCTACTAGTTTTGACTAGTCAAAATACGAATTCCAGATATCTACTCTTAAGGTTCTGACTTGTCATAATTGGCATTCAGATATCTACAACGTAATTATGACATTAGCAATAATACACTGAAGATATCTACTAGGGAAGTGCCCAAAGCTGAAAACCTAATTCAGTAATACATGAATAATAGCTTTAAAGTGAATTCTACCAAATAAATATTTGTGAAGAAATTTTCAGTTTCGGCTGATATAAAGGCCAGAATCATTGACTGAAATAGTGACGTTTAATTAGCCTTTCTCCTTTTTGACTGATTTATTGTCTATTTCCTGTACACATTGTGGATACCTGAAACAGGTAAACTTGTCAGCTGCGAGGAGCCTGGATTAACACTATTGTTTTCTTGTTTTAATCGATACTGATATGGATGTTTGTGCGTGAACTTCAACATTCTATTAGACACAAATGCAACACAACGCTTGCTTGCTAAACGCTTGCTACAACACATGCTTTGTTCCTTTGAGTATGAAAGTCTACATATTTCTAAAGTCAATTTTATCATAAAATACACACAACAAATATTAAAGAAATGTTGAAAGAAACAGTACAACTTACTGAAATGTTTCTGCAAGTGTTTCAACCCCAAGATGTCAGTAAAACAGCCAGTAAAACAAAAGGCATTAAATGTCAATACACTAGGAAAAAAAAAAAAAACTTTTCAGTAGAGAGGAGCATTGTGCTATTATGCACTATATTACATATTCATTATTAATGCACATTACTTAATGCAGCCCTACAGGTAAGGTGAAATGTAAAAGAGCACTGGTAGAAGATAATCAAGAGATGTTGTGACAACCTGGACAGAAGTCAGTTCCAGATCCAGCCTCCACACCAGACTTCTCTCTCATATGGATTGCTGTCTACTACCATATTATGTGTTCTCTTCAGACTTAGGTGCATGCAGATATTACTCAGCGACATGAACACTTGAACACTGCAAGAATAGGGAATGTTTAAGAAAAACACAGAAATTTATTTAAGAAATTAACATTAATAGCAATTAAACATTAAAAAATGTATTTTTCTTCCAAAGCACCTAAAAGCCAATTCACACGGCCATACTCCAACGGGGTGAACACACTGACCAAACAAAACAAAATAAGCATGTTGTTTTTTAATAGTTTTTGTAACAGTGTGAACTGACCATAATGCTGTATTTGCTATAATACATATATTTATAGATGCACCAGTGTGAAGCATAATTCCCTCCACATTTGCTGTATATCCATAAGGTGATATCTTTGTCATAGTATTCTTTCAGTGGTCAAGGAGATTTCACATGACAGGCATCAGCGCTAGTCACTGCATTGATCTCTATGTAATGAACCATTACCCGAGCGCAGTGTTGTTTGTCAGTTTTGTTCAAAGTTCAGAAAACATTCTTGTTTACAAGTACAACCTTGTATTTTTCCAGTGTTGTGCCGAATTCTGTGACCCATCAAATCTGTATTGAGCTAATTCGACCTACTACTAAACCCAAACCTAATCCTACCCCTAACCTCATTCCTCGGATCACATAATTTGGTGGGTCACAGAACTCAGCGCTACAATAGAATGAATCAGCATTGAATGAATGGTTAACTAACTCAATAAGACAGTCCCTTGCTGCCACCTACTGGCATAACAATGTAGCCTGCAATTAAAGCGCTGAAAAATCGCCAACAGTTTCTCAAATCAATTTAAAACGTATTAAATAATAATAAAAAAATCTAAATATATAATATATAATCTTTAGTTTTAGTGCAAACAGTAGATTGCAATATAATTATTATAAAATAACAATTGCAGTTTGGTCTAGTTTTGTTTTCGTTGTAGACAAACATGATGTTTGCATGATATAATTATTATTATTTATTTTTTTGACTACTTAAAACATACCAGGTTGGTATTTTCACAACGTTTCTAAAACATTTTAATTTGGTTACATTTTATTATTATTATGTATTTATTTTAAAACATTGTACTACAACATTACTTAATTGCAACCAAAATACAACACTGTGAAAAGTTGTAAACATTTTTGTGTTTGCTTTTTATATTTTGTGAATAATTACAATGACTAAATTTGTGTGTAGTATAAATTATTAGGCCTACATATGTTAATGTAGTCTTATAAAATGGACAAGCAGGTAAGGTGAAATGTAAAAGAGCGCTGTAATAAGCTGCATATTCAGATGAACAGAAATATTGTAACCTGTAACATAATAGCCTATGACGAATTATAAAGTAAAATGAAAAGACACCACTTATATATTTATTATATTATATATTAATATAATATATATATATATATATATATATATTAATATTTATGTTGCTATCCAGTTATAATATTGTTTTATATTAAAGTCAGTTTACTTAAAAAAATAAAAATAACACAGTAAAGAAGACATTTTGATGGCAGCATGTGAAATACCAGTTTGGACGTGGTAAGTATGTTTCTAAAACTTTGCAAGGAGACATGGTAATGTAATAAAAATGTTATAAATACGTTTCTGCAACGTTGTGAAAAACCATTTATAATGTGAAAAAAACCTGACATCTGTCATATTAAATACGTCAGATAAAAACTTTATCACAACCTTTTCACAACGTGAATTAAACGTTTTTACAACGTAGTTGTGTTTGCTGGGTTACTAGTCCAATTATAACTGCAGATATATAATATCATTCTGACTATTCAAATTATAATTATGACTAATAAAGATACAACTGTTGATTCAATCGTCATTATGACAAGTCAAAATTGCAGAATTGATATCTGTAATTTGTATTTTACCTACATTACGACTAGTAGAGCCAGGTGTCTTAAATGCTAATACGGCTTGCCATACATTTCGTCAAGGAAGGGAACTTCAACAGATAACCCGTGCTGAGTGACCAGGGGAGCAGTAAACACTGAGTAGGTGCCCTGTCATTCGGAATTGTTACAATTGGTAAATATAATAGGAGTAGAGAGTAAAAAGTTTGCATCCGCGGCAGTTTTTTTCCAGCCACGTCTTCTGATAACGGGCCATTGAAGCTGGCGTGATATTTAAACATGGACTGGTGAGTAACATGCGAAGCATTCCCATTAAACTTTGATATGAGGACCAACAATAACGTAGTACGTTGCACTGAGTATATAGACAAAAGAGTCAAGACGAAGCCGCTAACACAGTTACGTCGTGACAACGTTACTGGACCGGACCATATTAGGTATACATATAGGTACCAAATAACATTCCAGCGACGTAAATTTGTGATTCCCATATTCGTCGGTAAAAAGTTTGCATCCGCGGCAGTTTTTTTCCAGCCACGTCTTCTGATAACGGGCCATTGAAGCTGGCGTGATATTTAAACATGGACTGGTGAGTAACATGCGAAGCATTCCCATTAAACTTTGATATGAGGACCAACAATAACGTAGTACGTTGCACTGAGTATATAGACAAAAGAGTCAAGACGAAGCCGCTAACACAGTTACGTCGTGACAACGTTACTGGACCGGACCATATTAGGTATACATATAGGTACCAAATAACATCCAGCGACGTAAATTTGTGATTCCCATATTCGTCGTGGGGACATTATAGCAGTACTTTGCTGAAACGTGGCGAGTACGTCTCAATGACCAAACTGGCACGTTGGGAAGACGTGACCGTATGCAGCGCATACGGGGAGGGGAGGGGAGGGGAGGGGGGGTATCGGGTAGGGTGTGCTGGGGGTTGGGGCGGGGCAAATGTATCAATTATTATATTATTATTATATTAGTTTATTATATTAATTTAAACAATTATTATCAAACAATTATTGCGTGTATATCAAACTGCGTGTTTTCTGCGTAAAAATAAGGGTCGTTTTTGGCTTTGGGCTAAACCAAAAAGCAGAAGGGCTTATTGAAAAATGCTAATTCATTCTCCCCTCATTCTTTCGCTTTTCGCCAGGACTATAGCCATTTCCCTGGTAACCGCAGTTGAAAGTGTAAGCTATATCTCAATTTGCATGTATATTTGTTTTTTTTCTACCGGAGCACCACCTGAGTCTTCTCCTCTCGTCCCATTTCTACCAGTGATCCTTTTCTTCCCGCGGTCATCACTGTTGCCAAGTTCAGGGGACAAATGGGTTGAAATTTGTATGTGTCGATTGTGTGAGAATGATGCGTTTCATACAATATCTGGCAACTGGACAACCTTGGAATTTATTGACGTGATTATTCATATAATGAGGTTTGGGCCATACAAATTACGCAGCACCTGATTTTGCAACTTGCAGCGCTCATATTTAATACGTCCCATTTCTACCAGTGATCCTTTTCTTCCCGCGGTCATCACTGTTGCCAAGTTCAGGGGACAAATGGGTTGAAATTTGTATGTGTCGATTGTGTGAGAATGATGCGTTTCATACAATATCTGGCAACTGGACAACCTTGGAATTTATTGACGTGATTATTCATATAATGAGGTTTGGGCCATACAAATTACGGGAGTTTTACAGGAGGCAAATGTAGCAAACATATAAAATACGCACTGTGGGATTTTTTTATAGAAAGATTAAAAATACGAGAAAATATTTAAACGGGATGATAGCGGGATAGAATGGTAAAATACGGAATAATCCCGGGAAAACGGGAGGGTTGACAGGTATGATGCAACGACGTACCAAATAACGTACTGGCGACGTAACTTTGTGATTCCTATTTTCGTCCTGGCGACGTTTTAGTGGTAAGTTCCTGGAACGTGGCAAGTACGTCCTAACGACCAAAATACCACGTCCACCTTATTATTCTCACCTTTAGTCCGGGTCTTGAGGATGTGTTCGAACCTTACATTGAAATCCATTTAGAACTTATAAGCATTCTCTGCTGTAAAAATAAACCTTCTAAATTCTAATGGTTTAAAGTGTTACAGGGGATTTTTTGTGAATACATTCATTACATACATGCAATGCAAACCAATACAAAAACATATTACATTCTAATAGAAAATGGACAAAAACACACTGCATTCATTTATTAGTCAGCATTTATTCAGTTACTTTCTACAAATAAGACAATACATTTTGAACATTACACCTATTCTTTAACCATGTAAAGTGTTACCAAGTCATGAGCACAGAAAATTGAACACATCAATTCATAGATTACGCAATATAATCAATGAATAATGTAAACACTGATTAAAATGTTTTATTTTTATTGAAAAAGTTCAAGTTGCTCATTAAGGATGGGTATAGTTAAACAGTGATTATATCAATGAAAATTATCAATAATTATCAGTAGGCCTACTCTATTGACTCTATTGATTAACTCCCCATAATTTGATGCAAAAAATAGAGGCATGATATGAAACGATTCAGTAGTTACTTCATTATTACTTTTTTTTGTAGAAATAAGTTAACCCTCTATGGCATAGTGTTGCCCTCAGGCAACGAACCACTTTTTTGGACCTGACACCCCTTTAATTTTTTAAATAAAAAAATATATACATATAATATCACCTGACATGTCTGTTCAATAAAATGATGGGCTGAAGTGGGTGTAGCCTTTTGTTTGGGGATGGAGCAGTCATTTTAGGAAGCAAAGCTGCATGGGACACAGTGCCACAAATTGGTAAGATAAATAGCACTGTTTAACATGTTTAAAATGAAATATCTTTATATAAAAAAATATATGCATGTGTATCAAAATGTAAATAAGTTTGATTATTACAATACTTACTTTGTTTTTATTTATATACTAAAACTGTGTTTTTTTGTTTGTTGCCTCAGGCCAACATTGTGCACTTAGAGCACTTTTGTTCAGGCAATAGGCCTATCATGCTAAAGTGTGGATGCATATTAGAACCATATGGTGCATTCAAGTCCTCCTATGAATTTTATGTTTATGAGCTCTGAAAACTTCTAAGAATGTGCATTATGTGTGTAATTTATATTTATTATTATTATTATTATTATTATTATGCTGCCACAGAGAATCAAGCCTATCAGCTGATAAACTGACTAAATGAGTAGTGTTTTCTGGCAAACTTTATCTTCACACACACAGTGACACACACGCAGTGACACACACGCAGTGACACACACGCAGTGACACACACGCAGTGACACACACGCAGTGACACACACGCAGTGACACACACGCAGTGACACACACGCAGTGACGCACACAGTGGCACACACACAGTGACACACACATGCAGTGACACACACACAGTGACACACACGCAGTGACGCACACAGTGGCACACACACAGTGACACACACGCAGTGACGCACAGTGGCACACACACAGTGACACACACACGTGTTTTCTGGCAAACTTTATCTTCACACACACAAAAGTCTCTTCTGCTCACCAAGGCTATATCTATTTGATCAAAATTACAGTACACAGTAGCGTTGGGACGATAGACGATGCCATCTTCCATCACCGATGGCTGACAGACATCACAATGTTGAGCCGGCATTGTGATTCTGTTAAAAAAACATCTTAATTAATCAGACAATATTGCTCAGTGCAATGCATGCTTTCAATTTCCGCTCAGTTACTTCAAATAATTTTTTTTTTTCAATTGTTTTTTTTTTCTGATTACTTAATAATAACATAATGAAGTTGTTCATGGTCACAATACAAATTACATTTAAAAGAGTTCAATGAACACATTTAAAACAGTAAAGGTTTTATTGTGCAAAAACGTCAAACGAATGATTGGCAAATTATAATACAGCAACAAAATTCAAAATTATTTAAATTAAATTAGATTAAATAGGTTAGAACATGCAGGTCAGATCGTAGGTGTTGGATAATAAATATGTTACAATCAAATAAAAATAGCCTAATAATAATTCAATTTAATATTTTAATCCTCTGACATCTGCTCCGCATCCCAGATAGCACACGTACATCTGCAAGATGTCTGTTAAAGATTGCTTCATCTGGAAAGCGTCTGCTGTGTACAAACATCTGATAGACGTCTCTAAGATGTCAGTTTTACATCATAAACATCTTAAAGACATCTTCTAAATGTCTATTTGACATCTGATAGGAAACGTCCTACAGACGTATTGCAGATGAGTAAACACTCTAAAAATTAGAGTGCAGATGTAAATGCAGACGTCAAATAGATGTCTCCGTGATGTACATGTGCTATCAGGGATTGCTCCTTGGGCCCGGGTATACTTCACTTTCCGCGTTCATCTGATGTCATCATCTTTACCATAAATGCTAAATACCATGTACTTCACCTTAGTTTTTCATGTGATGCAATGTCAGGACATAGGATCAGTAGATCTAAACAGATTCTTAAATTTGTAATCCCACAATCCCCCCTTTGAGAGTTCTAATAACAATCACATAATACAACTTTAAACCTCCATAAGTCCATTCTATAGCCTATGCTTGTTAACATAAGCCCCATCTTACAGTCGTGTAACTTTAAAAAAAAGTTACAGGCACATATAGCTTATTCTGTGTCTTGTCCTAGATTTATTTAGGTGTAATAGTTCTTTTCAGAACCATAACTGTCGACACATATACGACAAGGGATGTTACATGTCGTACATATTAACATGACTTTCCCACGTACAGTCGCTCAGATTACTTTTTGTTCTCATGAAGCTTGTTCATAGATGTCTGAGGTGATGCTTTACACCAGGGTGCCACTTATGAAGATGACATGGCATATACACATACCTGCAACACAAGAAAACAAAGAAACAGCAGACCAGCAGTACTCATGCATAGACATAGAAAAATGTGATAAGATTTGCGTGAGCCATTCCTGTCGCGAAGCTGATGGTAAAATGTGTGATCTGTTTGAATTCTATTGACAAATTGCCACTTTAAAATGCTATGGAGAAAGTCAAACATTATCTAAAAGGGCATTTAAACAAGTAAGACTGATGAAAGGAGGAGAAAATGTTATCTTACACCAGCACTTTTTACTACTCATGACCACCTTTACCAGAAGAATTTATCACGTTTTATTGTAGGCTTATTTATTGTGATACATTTTGTTGAACTTGTTGTAGAATATATAATTTATAATTATAATAGATTAGAGAATGGG